AAAAAAAAAAAAAAAAAAAAAACTGCAGCTTGTCTTTCAGAAGTTTTAAAATGCAATAACCAATAGTAGAAAAAATAAATATGTTTCTTATTAAAATTTAAAGCGTAAAATGTTTTATCAAAATTTTAATTTTCTTTCTTTTTCTTTAAGAACTTAGAAAATATAAGATGAACGGTATTGACAATGAATATTTTTGATTAAAAATTGATGACATTTACTTTTTGTTTGATAATTTTTTGCATTTTTTTCTTCTTTATTTTCCCAATTATGTTAACTTAACAACTGAGAAATAACACAAGAAAAAAGAGAAAATAAAATAATTGTTGGCAAAAAAAAGTAGACGAAAAAAAAAAGGTAAAGTCAAAGCAAATGTAAATCAGCATTTATTTATAATGTATCGAACGTCGTCCACCAATGTTTTAGCGGTTGGGTACATTGATTGTCGACTTTTAGCTAAAATCAAATGCTTTGCTGTTACACTGATAAATCCTAAGCTTCGTCTGACAATAAATCTGTACAGTTGACACATCTATCAAAAACAAAAAAATCTCTTAAAATGTCTATTTTACATCTGTGTGTTTATTAAGCTTACAATTTTTAACATTAAAATGCCAAGCAAAACCTTTGACTTTTCTTGAAAGTTATTCAGTTATTTGGAAAAAAAAAACTGGAAAAACAATTAATGTCAAATTGCACAGTTGAACTGTGCATCTGAACATTTAGAATAGCTGCTGAATCGTTTTCATATTTATATTTGAGGTAAAAATTCTTAGTTTTTTTTTTTGGCTTTTACTCTTACAATACTATCAAAGTCTTGAATCGATTTATAATCAGCAGGTCATTTAAAGCTAATAGCTTTATAAGAATTGTGTTCAAATTAAAACTGTTATTTATAAGTTTAACAACTTTTTGTGTCAAAACGACATTTATAAGTAAAACGTTTTTAATAAATACATCTATCAAAAACAAACAAATCTCTTGAAGTTTCACTGAAATAAAGTTTTCCTTTTCAATTTTTTTGAATTTACAACTTTGTCTATAAGTTTATTAAAGATTCAACATAAGTATTTGACAAAAACAACATAATATTCCTGGTTTGGCAAGTGAAACAGGCAAAAAAAAAACTTTATGTCATTGAAGAAATATAAAAAAAACCTTAGAAACAATTTCAGCATTTAAGAGACCATAAAAGTAGAAAAAAAAAGAAATTGCCAGCACATGGTAAAAGTTAAATATAAATTGAAGAAAAGATGAAAATTTACGTATATCGATGGCCAAAAATCTGTAATTATATTACAACCATAAACGAAAAAAAATGTGGAGGAAGCATTTTTTCGTGTACTAAAAATTCAAATTATTACTTTGGATGTCTTCAAGTAACTGAATTGAACAGGCAAAAGAGTCCTGAAATTTTTGATTAGTTCTCTTCAATTTCAATGGTATAACTTCAGTTTCACTCTGTACATTACTTTCATTACTGTTATTTTTTCTTAGTAGAATAGCTCCTAATTTAAATTATTTCGACAATTTCTGCAGCAAGTTCTTGTTCTTCTGTATTTAGGGTTATGGATGCTGATTTGTCATTTTATTTTACAGTATTTGTGCTTTAAAAGTTTGTAGAAACTTTTTGAGATAAAGTTCTTACTCTAATAGAGCTTTCATAGTCATTTTTAATGAATGAACTAATTAGCACGGTAGGATACAAAAACTAACTGCATTCTGATAAATTTAAAGATTGAAACTTTGAAAAAATTTGCGCAGATTTATTGGTTTTGATGTTGCTTAAATATAAGAAACTAGAAAAAAAAAAACAACAAAAAGTAGTTATTTAACACAGAAAAAGGTATATTTTTTTTTCTTCAAATTACAAGAGTTGATTGAATACTAAAAGTGTAATTGTAACATTTTACAGATTCTGAATCGGAAACAAATCTTCTGGGCATACTTGGTACCCATATAACGCAAGGCGATATTCATGTTCGTCGTGTTGCCGGTTTAGATGGTTTTCCAGCTATTGCAATAACGGTAATTGGAGAAAAAAAAGAAACAAATTTTTTGTTTTATAAATTTTATTTTATTTTATTTCCTGCAACAATTTTTTTCTCACCAACTTTATAAGTATTGAATTTTGCATAAAAGTTGATAAAATTTTATGCTGTTATTGGAGAAACAATTTCAAATTGTAGTACATTTTATGAAAATAAACGAAGGAAACGACCTGTATAATAGTTGTAGGATTTTTCACTTTTTCAAAATATTGCTTTTTTTTTTTTATTTAATTTAGCAGTCATCTTTCAAACTGTCGTTAAATTATCCGCCAAACAGTTTGTTGTTTGATTGACTGTTAGAGAGATTTATAACTTTACTCTCTTTAAGTGTTTTCAAATTAAGCAACAGTAATAAAATTTGTTTCAGTTGTATTCATATATGTTGCTAACTAACCATTTTGACTACCCGCTTACAACTCTATAGCTAAAAAAAACTTTTTTTTTTTTTGTGCAAGTTCTTTCTTTACGTTACTCAATACAAATTTGAGGCATAATTTTATTGCTTAGAATAATTTTCCCAAACTACAGCAGATATATTTGTAAAGAAAGTAATTGTGTAGAACTTTAATGAAATTTAACCAAAGTACAGTAACCGGCAATCGGTCTTACTGAACAATAACAGTTCATTCTTATTAAATAACTACTGAAATCCTTTTGTCTTTATTTTGATAACCTAAAATATTAAACTTAAAAGTTGGCGTTACTACTGAATAGAAGTGGTGAACAAATAGTTGGTGATTTTTAAAAAAATTTATTCAATTACATTGCTTAAAACAAAAACAGCCATTTTTATTAGTCTTAGTGCTGTTGTTTTTTTGTTATTCTGATTAACACTGTTTTAGAGAGGTGGAAAATTTGTTGCACCATATCGGTTATTGCTACCGGGTAAATTCTATGAAAACTTTTCAATTGCTGCCACCGTACAGCCAGCAGATCGTGAAGGCGGTTATTTATTCGCTGTCCTCAATGCATTGGATACAGTTGTAGCGTTAGGAGTGCTTCTGGAACCAGCAGGTTTCTAATATGCAAAAAAAGTTTTTATCTCTTAATTTTTCAGACTATTTGCTGATAATCACAATATCCCATATTAGAACGAATCTTAAGTTTGCTACTTTTTACTATGTATTACTTAGTGTTAACTGATAACAAAAAAACATGGTAATTACAGAAAAAAAAACGACTGTTTCAATTACCTTCAATATTTGTTTTATAAAATCTAATAAAAACTTTTAAATGATTATAAATTGAATCAATATCTTTTGACAAAAACTTCGCTAACATTAAAAA